GAATCAGAGCTGATGGTAGATCAACAATTTCTCAGCTGGTTGTGCCCCACATCAGAGTTATAATGAAGTTCTGGAAGAAGTCCATGGCGGAAAATCTGGTGGACATTTTGGAGTTAACAAGACATTGAGTAAAATTCGAGAAAGATTTTACTGGGTTCAATGTCGTGACGACGTGGAAAGTTGGTGTAGAAGATTTCCTGTATGCGAAGCCAGTAAAGGTCCCAGAACGAGATCAAGAGCTGGAATGAAGCAATACAATGTGGGTGCACCGTTTGAAAGGATCGCCATCGATGTAGCCGGGCCATTCCCTTTGACTGATGATGGAAATAAATACATCTTGGTTGCTATGGACTACTTCAGTAAGTGGGTAGAAGCATACGGCATGCCAAACCAAGAAGCCTCCACAGTTGCCAGGATATTGGTCGACAACATGTTTTCACGGTTCGGAGTACCAATGGAATTACATTCTGATCAAGGGAGAAATTTTGAGTCGAACTTATTCAAAAAGGTCTGTGATCTAATGGGAATCAGTAAGACGAGAACAACTCCACTACATCCACAATCCGATGGCATGGTCGAAAGATTCAACCGAACTATGGAAGAACATCTTTCCAAAGTAGTCGAAGAGCATCAGAGGGACTGGGACAGGCATCTTCCCTTATTCCTGATGGCGTATAGAGCAGCTGTCCATGATTCAACGAAGCTAACTCCAGCTAGTATAGTCTTTGGAAGAGAACTTCGCTTACCTTGTGACTTGGTGTTCGGTTCACCAAGTGTTGAAGAAAAGGGAGTACAAGACTACGCAGATGAGCTCCGGAATGGCTTGATGAAAACTCATGAGACTGCTCGGAAAAGATTGAAATTAGCAAGTGACAAAATGAAGGCACGGTACGATCTCAAAGCCAATTCAGAGGGATTCTTTGAAGGAGATCGAGTTTGGCTGTATAATCCTCGACGGAAGAAAGGCGTATCACCCAAATTAACACCATCTTGGGAAGGACCGTATAAGGTGTTGAAAAGGATCAATGATGTGGTCTATAGAATCCAACGCAGCCCTAGGACAAAGATGAAAGTCGTTCATCTTGAAAGACTGAAGCCTTATCATGGTGAGGAAAGTTCTGTTTTTGATCGGGACGATCAAATTTGAAGAAGGGGGTAAATGTTACGACCCTGGCGATCAATCCCAGCTACCTGCGACAGAAGTAAATAAACCGTATTTCTTGGAATAGTAATTAGGTGATTCGACGGCTATTGAGATGACTCGAGAAGATTATCGACCTGTTCACGATATTTCGTTTTATTAGGTAGTATAAATAGTTGTTGTTAGGGACAGGAAGAGAAGTCTTTATTTGGAAGCGTTATAATAACGATCGAAGAAGTGTTGTGTTTAGTACGAGTATTGTAATTATTGTATAGTAGTGTTCAGAATCGTTTTAAGTGTTATACCGAGTGTTAAGTTATTACGGACCCAGAGTAAAATCGTAACACTATAAATAATAATTTAGAAGGTGGTTTTACTGATCTGGCAATGCGGTTAGGTTAGGTTAGGTTAGGTTAAGTATAAATTCACAAAAAGCAAGGAAGCGTTTTCAAAGCTGAAAAGCTTCAAAAAAAGCATACCCTTCGTCATATAAGGTGATTTTGATCGAAGGTGTCAACTGATTCCTGTGCACAGCATTTGAACGGTATTTTCTTTTCTTGTTACCGAGGAAGATTGAGCCCATCAGAGACCTTGTTTTCTTCTTTTTAGAAAACTTTTTCATCGCTACTCCACTTTTAATTCTTAGTGTCGGGCTACAAGAAGAAGAAAACACGAAGAATGATCAATCCCCAAGCAAGTTTACATTAGAGTTTCATAATTATTTAGGTACTTGACACTTTTATTTTGTGAATGTCGACATACACCGGTTATTGTCGACAGACACCGGTTAATGTCGACAGACACCAAACGTGTTGGTGTTAGATTTATTATAAATTCGGATCTTCACAGGTATTTATCAGATGTAATATCCCTAGGACATTGATAATAGACGCGATAATTTTATGGCAATCGAAAGCTTGTTCCTACGGCCTATCTATGACCTCTGGTTTGGAGAAAAATTCAGATCATTTTGAGTTAGACCTGGAAAAATACAATTTCAAAAGACTTTTATTGTGTGTGTGTGTGTGTGTGTGTGTTTTTCCCATATGATGCCAACTTTATGAATGACACACAAAATATCGATATATCGACAACTATCAATGTATCGATATATCGATGAATGTCGATAACTAGAAAATATTATTGGACCCTCACGAAGAGATAACCATATACACGTGTTTCGGGCTTTCCGCCCTCATCAGTAAGGACGTGCAAAGGAAGGATAGACAGCACTTGGTAGAAAACGAAACAACAAATATCGATAAATATCAATAACTGTGGATACATCGTTATGTCGAATATTTTGACCTATCGATGATTGAGGGGTTCGAAGCTGAAGTGAACCAAGTCCATTTTCGGTAGACTTGAGATATAGAGATTCGAAGTTGCTCGTCAGTGGTTGATTCCTATCTCATTCAATCTGATTTTTTTGTATGAGGGACTTTCCGATCAATCGTAACTTGAATTTTAGTGCCATCATCGAATCAAAAATTTGAATAGTACCAGCTTCATAATTTTTTTTTTCATATTGGACTTGGTTCACTTTTCTAGTGAAGATTCTATGAATGAAGAAAGGAAAATCTCAACCTGAGACAAATGAACTTCATTTTTGAAATGAGACTGCGGTACGATAGTATGTTCCTTACTACCTGAAATAGGGACTAGAATGATCCCTAGGGTCTATAGTGAACCGTAAATCTCAAAACAAACTGACAATATACCTAACGAATTGGTGAAAGTTGGTGCATGTTAAATCAAATTCGATAACTGATGAGTTACCTTATTTTAAAAAAGAACATCCTCAGATATATTTATGAACACAAAAAATGGATATATATATATAAATACATTGGGAATTCGCATTCTCCATGTGATGAAAATATTAATTCTGTCTCGGTTTATTCAACAGAAATCAACTACTTTCCTATATGCCACGACGAATATTGAATTACATCTATTGGACACACACGATAAGCATTTGAAAACAAAATCTTCTGAAGTAGAGAATTTGCATTCTCCTTCATATAAAGCTATGCATATAATATAATTCTGAATATTCAACAGAAAACATCTACTTTCCTGGCAATCTGCCACGTCGAACATTGAATTATATCTGTAGAATATCCAAAAAGAGAGCATGAAAAATCAAAATCCTCTGAAATTGAGAATTGACATCATCGCTCAAATCGAATAGAATAATATGATGTATTATGATATAAAAATATAAATACCGATATGTTCGGTATTGAAATGAAAATTGAAATGTATAGGAGAAGTATACTTTAATGAACTCTGATCTTGATGAGCTTGGTACTCCCGAAAAAAATCATTCGTATCAGTAATATGGGAATTATATCTCTCACAAACAGCAACAAACAGATTATATGAATTCATTTCGGATATCATATCCTCATCAGTAACCTGATGATGAATGTCAATTTATCATACATAAAAAAAAACATTATTTTAGTTACAACTTTACCGAAGGTGTGAAAATACTTTGAAGTGATCCATTTGATCCCTATTTGAACTGCAGGTGCTCGTTTGATTTCTATCGAGACTAAATTGAACCGTTCCCAATTTACTTCATTTCCTATTTCAAATCAAAATTGAAATTAACTAACAAATGCTTGTTGAATTGAATTCTAATATTTGCAGGTCAACTAATTGATTGATAGTCTTCCAGAAAATGCATAGCTTCTGGGAAATGAACCATCGCTTGATTGAATGAATCACTTTAGTCCCGTGCAATACAATGTTCTATAATGGCTCGATGCTTTATCTCATCCATCATAAACCAATGCATCTTGGACTTGGTTCACTAATGCTCTGAAAGTTTCGCGAAATAATTCCTGCCACATACACATCTGCTTCATCAAACGGACTTGGTTCATTACAGCTCCGAAAAATATGAGCTTTTATAGTATATTGTGTAACAAGTGTCATAAACGTCCTTTCAGTAACGAGTATTTTAAGCACGAGCGGAGCGAGTGTTTGATAAGCGAGTATCTAGAAGAGTTTATAAACGCGTTACATACTATGCTTTTTCTACTAACTCCGAAAATTACACAAACATACCTGCTATTCCTGCTAACCTACAAATTAATTCGAAAGGAATGGGAATTGAGAACATAATACATGCAAGCGAGACACGTATAAGTGATATTGGTTGTAGATGTGTCCAGTCTATTGCTTACTATAACCTTTGTTTCACGTTTATTGTCATGCTTAGCGCAGAATTAATAAGTTGTTCTCAAAGATGGATGCTTCATTTTTACACTTCTTGGAGATATGCAAGTACCAGAACATTCTCTTCGATTTCACTTTCGTCTACTTTTCGCATATATTTTCAATGAAGAATTCTGATACAAACGAATATTGTTTGAATAATTCTGATACAAAATTTGAAAATAACAGTTGACAGTTAATACAATTTACAGGCCAGACATGTGTACATCATCATCATTCATAATTGGAACAATGTTCTCTCTACTGTTTGATATGAATCTTTTAGTGTTTTCTGTTTTGGTTCTTGTTGGATTTTTGATTACTTTGAACTTTACGTTTAAGTCTTGCTGTGTGTCTTACATCCACTTTCATTGAGAGGAACTGTTGTGTTACGGTATTTCTGATAGGATTGAACGGAGATAAATACACACTTTAATAATACAGAAACACTAGCCGTTCCTTATGTGAATTGGGTGGTTAGGTTTTCTCTCTTTTAGAGGATGTGAAAAATCACCAGATTTCACAGTTTGATTGAAAATAATCACCAAATCACCAAATTAGCAAAGAAATCACCGAATCTGGTGATAAATCACCAACATTGGCAACATTGATTGACAGTCCTACTGCTTACCATTCGGCGTTGTCGCGCATCATGTTCACCGACTCCGCGTCGAAGCTGTAGTGCTTGCCGCCCTGCAGGCCGCCCGACGAAGGGCTGGGCGAGCAGGAGGCCGACCCGCCGCCTGCCTTCAGGCTGCCCGTGCTGAGCATGCGATGGAAGCGCAAGCGGAAGGGTCGCGAGGGCGACTTGGGCGGCTTCTCGTCTTTGAGCGAGGCAGCGGGGCTGGTGGGGCTGATTGGGTCCATTCTGAGGCACGGAGGATATATCTGAAAACGATTGCGGGCCATTGCATTATTTGACAAGATTTCATCCTGTTTTTGCCTTGATTTTTTTTATGTTTTGGTTCCCACGGAAAGGAATATCCTGTAATGTTCAGAGAACATTTATTTATTTATTTATTCGCCATTATAGGTTGCTAACAGAACAAAGTTCCAGACAACAGCATCCACTATGTAAGAATTATTCTTAGTTATTTCTACAATAATTATCCATAAACATTTCTTATCGCTATAAAATTATCAGGGAATGATACATATGTGATTTAAAAAGTAATTGTATGAAAATGTTTTTATATATATATTAATAATATAGCAAAAATTATGGGACATCAGCGTACATAATAGATCATAATTGAACGAGTACCGGAAATGAGGAACCATTTTTAACTTTTTCAACTATTGATATGAGTTGAGAAACATACTTTTCAAAAAAAAAATTGAAACGAGGCAAAGATGTCGAGAAAATGTCGAGAGACAAATTGGGATCGTGACAGTGTGTGTTGAATGCTTTTTGCATACGAACTAGTGGCGAGTTTTGTCCTAGATTGGTTCTACAATAAGGGATATTGAATGGGGTATATTATCGAAGATTGTTTCTACTGGGAACGTTGAAATTTATTTTTGCAAGTAAGTATGGGCAGTCGATTTCATGTCTAATAATTTTGAAGAGAATAGATAAGTCTGAGATAGTACATCTTTCACTGAGTGGCATAATTTTAAATTGATTTCGAATAGGCTGGTAATTGTGGTCCTGAACGCGAATTTTGTTTTGAAAGGCTAGGAATCTTAACAATTTATTTTGAACATTTTCTCCTTGAGTGTACGGCATATTGAGGATTCCAAATAGCTGACGCAAAAGAAAGCTTGCTGTTGACGAATGCATAATATAGCGAGATGATAGTCTCAGAATTATGAAAATATTTTCCGTTTCTTTTTATGAACCCAACCATCCTGCTGAAAATGCTCCTTAAAATTACCAAACTCTCAATATTTTTTACTAGGAAAAAATCATTGCGAGCTTGTCATCTTCAAGTTCAAAAAGAATAGTTATTTGTTTTACTAGGCAGAAAAGTCGTAGATTGACTGCCGCGGCTGTTGATCTACATTTGCTGCCGTGTGAAACATAGAATTTTTTCCCTAAATGATATGGAACAAATTTTGTGTAATTTTTTTATTGGAAACTCCATCATTTTGTGTTCACCCAATGTCAGTGTCAATTTTGATTACTAATTTCATTAGAATTTCTTGGAACGTTGCATAGCAACAAACTTTTCCTGACTAGGCAGTAAAAGTACACCTTTTCTGCCTGTTGAGCGGCAGAAAAAAGCCACTATTCCTGCCGCTTGGGGAAAAACATATAATAGGGGTCTCCAGGTGAAAAAATAGTTATTTATTGTTTTACTAGGCAGAAAAGTACTAGAATTCAGCCAAGGCAGTCAATCTACATTTACTGCCGTGTGAAACATATAATTTCTTCTCCAAATGTAATGAAAGCCATTTTGTGCAGATTTTTTGTTGACAGCCCCTTAATTTTTTGTTCACAAAATGTCAGTGTCTATTTTGATTACCAATTTTATTAGAATTTCTTGGAACGTTGCACAGCAGCGAACTTTTCCTACCTAGGCAGTAAAAGTACACCTTTAATGCCTGTAAAGTGTCAGAGGAAAGCCACTTTCCCTGCCGCTTGGAGAAAATACTTATTTGTTTTACTAGGCAGAAAAGTACAAGTTTTAGTGCCGCGGCTGGCGTTTCACAGCCTAGGCGAAAACGAGGCTAGGAAATCAGCCAAGGCATTACATCTTCTTTTCTGCCATGTGAAACATAATTTTTTTTTCTCAAATTCTTTTCAATTTCACGCAATCACAAATAATCCATAATTTTTGGTTCACCCAAAGTCATTGTCAATTTTGATCACCAATTTGATTCAAATTACTTACTTGGAACGTCGCATGGCAACAAACTTTTTTTGCCTAGGCAGTAAAAGTACACTTCTTCTGCCTGTTCACTGTCATCAAAAAGCCACTTTTGATGTCATTTTGAGAAAAAAGTATTTTTCCTCCAATGAGCATCAGAAATGCTATCGTTAGACGATTTCAACAATGTTATTGTATCACCCAGTAATATCAAATTAGACACTCAATTTGGATAACCTTGTATGGGTAAAGGTATATGAAGAATTAATAGCCTCGGAATAATTCAAAATGCTCACTTACTTATATTATAAATTGGTGCAAACGGCCTGGCACACAAAAACACGAAAAAAACTCAAACTCCAAAAACAAATCACGTGAAAAAAAGTCCAAATCAATCAGAAATCCCGAAAAAACAGTTTTTCACACGTCGCGTAACCGTCAGCCAAAGATGTCCATATAAACACTAATATAAATATTTTCAGCGCAATATGCAATACTCAATATCTAATTATTATTGTTATTGTGCGATCGATTCGTGAAAATTAGCGTCTTTAATGGATTGTCTAAACACGAAAACCGTTTTCTAATCGAACCGAAACATTCAAAACGGAAATTTTCGCTAGATATAAAGCTTCCGGTACTTGGTCGACCTCATCCGCATCTCTCGTTATCTTTTCTTCAGGAAAAGAAATGTTATCGGAAACCGCTCTGCAATCTACCAAGACATATTTGCAATAAACTACCTAACACTAACAAATGACACAAATGAGTTGGTCGACACGCTAATTGATTTTAATTTGTTGACAATGGCTCGTTTCCATTTCGTTGATGAAAACTGTTGGAAATTATATGGAAATAGAGGGATGTGCGTGCAAAATAAGGGAGTTTCTATAATTCGCTAACCAAAGTCGCGAAGTTTGCCGACTGATTCGACTGTTCGATTCATATTTTTGTATAATAAATGTATTTGAATGAATACATATAGCTGCCACCAGTAAAATAATTTTTATGCACGACCGGGCGTAAAGTAGCTCTTTACCGCCCGGGTTTGCGGGCGTAAAGTGGCAATTTACCGCCCGCGGACTACTTTACCGCCCGGCGGGCGATAAAGTTATTGAGCTGGTGGTGAAGCTAATGTCACTGTCATATCGATAGAAATCTAGATTGACATTAAGAAAGCATGAAAATAGTACTTACTTTCATCATAAGGTACGAATCGTCTGGTGCTTCACTCAAGAATAACTCTATTTCTTCTCTGCTTAGAATCTTCAATGTCTTTGGTTTATAACCGTCAGATTTTCTTTTCAAAAAAGCTATTAATGTTGCATATTTACTAATATATCTATTATCATGTACATTTATTAAGGTAGCTTTCAACATGGAATAATATGACCACATGGAAGAGGGCTTACGAGATTTTGATTTTTCCAGAAAATAGGCAAGAAGCACACTTTCAGTGTAGTTCTTATTTTTTACATCATTTCTGTCGCACCAGCTTACGAATTCTTCGTATACTTTGTGGTATATTTTTTTCGATTTACTTGGCAATAAACTCGATTTTGCTTCCTCAGCTGCCTCACTAATTTCTGGTGGAGTACAATTCACACTTTCTTCATCACTAGAATTCATTTTGAAATCACTAATGAATTATGTATGATTACACAAATTGACAGTTAATATGGCTACTGTAAGATGGCTACAAGGCTTGTAGCCATCTTAGGCTACTGGCCTATTAATTCCTATTTCGAAAAATTGACTGAGTTGCCATGGTAACGTTGATTCCATACTTCTTGATTAATTGTATTTGCGATATGGATACAATACAGTCTCACTGCAACCGTGATGTATTTTTTTTGTGCTTGAGGGGTGAAGGGATACCTACATGAGATATCAAATATACAGGGTGTCCGCTAAAAGGAGGTCAATCCATTAACCATATATTCCTTGAACAAAAATAATATGAGTTTCTAAATACCATTTTTCATTTTAGCCCTCCTTATTCGATATACAGGGTGTCAAAGTTGGAAATTGAAAACTGTTTTTTTCTAATTATTCGCGTAATTAATAAGATATTAATCTCAAAATTGGTACATTACTTCAGCACAAAAAGTTACATCGTGTGAGGAAAACAAAACAGAAAATAACTGTCAAATATTCAAAATACTGGGGGTCAAGTACACACTTACCTCCATATTTTTTTTGTACGTGCGCTAATGATTTCCTATCTATTTTTCTTCAAGTGTTCAATCATTTTTGAGTTTTTTTTTTTATTTTTGTAAAATTCCGATAAATTTTTTTGTTTTTAAGATAATTCGAAAAGTACTGGTTATTGTTTGATGCCTCGCGGCTTACGGTAATCTTATAATGTTCACATACTTGACATACTCCTATTTATTTCGTCGAAATCGGCAGAGTGCGTATCTTATTACGTACCGAAAGGTAAATATGGAAATACCGGGTGCTCAGAGCGAATGTATTAAAATAATTTTTACACTTTTTTAATTTTTTTTTTGCAAAAACCATTAAATACCTAGTTTCGTGTGCCATTCCTCCGAAGCTCTGATTAGAACAGTGCATTAGGCTATGTCTTTATCGACTAGTGGTTTATAAAAGGACGAAAACTACCTTGGTAGTAACAACACATTTTCCGCCTCGAAAAGGAATAAATAATGTTACATTTTATAGCTAGTGGTGGAAAATAGTTATTTTTGTATCTAGAGCGCGAAATGCTACTTTGGTGATCGAGATCTGATTTTTTAACGAGGCGTAGCCGAGTTAAAAAAATAGTCGAGATGACCAAAGTATTTCGCGCTCGAGTTGCAAACAGCATTTTTTCTACAAACGTCAAAAAATATAGTTCTGAAGTAAAAATATGCTTAGCTTGATATGAAACATAGTGTTGAACTGGCTTAAAAAGGCCTCCCCCTATCCTCCCTAGGTACGCACGATGTTCCATGAACATAATAGGAATTTCCTTTCGTGCGCTCCAAGAAATAAAACAAAGTTATTGTTGAACATTCAGAAATAAATGATTTCGTGGATGTTCGTTCGATTGAGAACCATGAAGCTGAAA